TGGCTGGGTCTAATTGAGTCCATGCATCAACGGGTCAGGGCTGTTTTTTGGGGGGAGACCAACACAATATAAGGCAGGTGATGATAATGTTATGCCTGATTGGTGTATATTTACTGTATAGTTAGCAGAAAGGTCAGGTGATGCATTAAATAATGATATCATCATCATCTGTGAACTGACATAATGATCACTTCCTTTGCTAGCTACACTTGATCAACTATAAGCGACTGAGCAGCTCAAAACATAACTAAATTAAAACTGAGGTCTACTTAAATTCTTTTGTGCTCTTCAAATGCATTGATACATTATTGAGGCGATTTGTTTTTCCTGTCCTTTCCGGCACTGTAGCATTCACAGTGTTGTCTGAAGGCCCAATAAATGCCCAACAGGTTTATTTTCCCAAGTAGAGCATTAAGCCTTTTGCTATAATGGTCCACTTGATAGTCATATTTCATTAGATTTTTTATTAGCATTTATTTTTTATTTTTGAGTTATTATAATCAGAACAGATAAGACCAGGGGATGGAAAAGGAAAAGGAGAAGGGAAGATGAGTTGGGGAGAAAGTGAACAGAAGGAGAGAGAAAAATAAAACCAACAACAACAAAAACAAAAACACTGAAAATCCACCTGCTGAAACCAACCAATAAGCAAACCTCAGCAAGGAACCCCAGACCAAAACATGAGCAAAAAGAGTCAAAAAAGCCTAACTTTGAAGGTCCAACGTACAAAGTTCATGACAAAACAGTTCTAGAGGTCAACCTGGAGGTTGGCAGCACAAAAGCCGGTAATCTAACTGTTCGGGAGATCAACCTGAAGGTCGGCCACACAGCCATTAAATATTCCTTATTTCAGGAGGTCGACCCCTCAGGATTCCATGGCAGAACAGTTCAGGGCGCCGACCTCTGAGCCAGCGGCGACAATGGAGCAGTTGAGGATGTGGAAGATGGCGGCGACAGAGTTCAAGAGGCCGTCCATGACACTGAAGATGCCCAGGCGCTGGCCTGGAAAGTGGCCGGTGACGGTGAGGTACTAGATGTGGATGTGCGGGCTGAGCAAGACCAGATGAGGCAGGATCAGACGGTGGTGTGGCAACCACAGGCGAGGTAGCTGGACCAGATGGCAGCGTGGCAGTTGCAAGCGATGGAGCAGGTGGTGGTACTGCAGGTGACACTGATGGCTGGATGGACTCCTCGGGACCTCCAGTGGAGACAGAAGACAGTTGGACGGGGACCTCGGATCCTCCAGCAGGAACGGATAGCTGGAGTGTTTCTCCAGAACCTCCAGTGGAAACATGAGGAGGCTGGATGAGCTCAGCTGATTTCATAACTGACGCAAGTAGTTGCTGGCTGGGTCCTCGTCTGTTTTTTGGGTCCTCGTCTGTTTTTTCTATGTAAAATATAACAGCACACTGGAGTAAACTCTCTATCATCTCACACTTCTGTTTTATCAGTTTTCTGTTTGAAGTTTATTCAGCTGTGTGAAAACTAGAACTTTAATCTCAGCCAAACCGATTTACTCAGGAACAAATAAAACACTGAAAAAAGCCAAACAATAACAATTTTAAGTTATCTAAGTGACTTATATATCATGTTTAACCTGAGTAGCGAAAGACCGTGGGGGGTTTGAAAATGATGTGTCGGGAGTTCGCTGTTCTCGCCGGCTCTAGTGAGCCTTGAACTACCGGTCAGCTATCGAGCTGGTGGGTAACAGACGTCTCCGAAAACATCGGAGCGCTTTTGCAAATATGTGATATCTTGATAAACCGAGCAGATATTTGAGTTGCAGAATGGTACTGAGAAAGTCTCTGTCCATCGGGGGTAGCCCCTCCCATAACCAGGGAAAGACTGACACGCATACCCACATCTGGTGTACTAACCCTTCCCATTCCTCCTTTCTGGAGCTGTGCAGTCGATAGTGATTCCACAGCCTGAATAATTTCTCTTTCCTGTGTCACTGGGTCCGGCATGGTCAGGTCCTACTGGCACGACCTGTACTGGCAGACTGTGTGGAGGGAGGAAGGGGACCCAAAAGCAAACACTGAGGAAGACTGTGCTAAGGTTGCAAAACAAAAGCGAGCCTTTATTTGGGCTGATACATGAACTACAAAACCAAAAAGTGAGAACTAAGAGCAGACTATGACTTTATAACTTTGACTGTGACTCTAACTATGACTGTGACTGCATGGGGGGAACATAAGTAGGCGACCTGACAACTAACAGTAAGAGACGCAAGACTTAAATACCCAGGAGGGTGATGGAGGGAATTGAACACTCGTGGGGAATCAGCTGACACAATTGACCATAATGACACCACAGGGCAAGTGTAAACGAAGCACATAGAACATGGAAACAAGACTTTTAAAACAAACAGGAAACATGACGAGACGCAGACATGCCACAACCACACAGGCATCAAACATGAACCAGGGAGACTTATAAACAATATACATCATTGTTTATATACGTTATATCGTGGCTCAAGAGTTGGGAGTTCGTCTTGTAATCGGAAGGTTGCCGGTTCGAGCCCCGGCTTGGACAGTCTCGGTCGTTGTGTCCTTGGGCAAGACACTTCACCCGTTGCCTACTGGTGGTGGTCAGAGGGCCCGGTGGCGCCAGTGTCCGGCAGCCTCGCCTCTGTCAGTGCGCCCCAGGGTGGCTGTGGTTACAATGTAGCTGCCATCCTGGACATCGTGGAGATTTACTAGATAAGCTGAACTGAAACTAGACAAATGAATAACAAAATACAGAGAAACTCAAAAACGCTGTGTCCACACGACAGGGCTGCGGTCCCAGTACTGTGACGCTCTGCTGGTTTGAGATCAGCTGACTGACCTGCCTTGAGAAACTCTTTCAGTTTTGCTTTGTGATTTGGGTTATTATTCATTCGCACTGTAACATGCTGTCTGATCAGATTTGCAGCATTTGGTGTGCACCTCAGAATTCAGTAGGCTGGTTTCACTGGCAGCTATACATGCCCATGCCATAACGCTGCCTCTGAACTCGTTGACAGATGATGAGATGTGCTTCGGCCATTTCCAGTCATCGGGATAAAACTTCATTTTGGTTTCATCTGTGCAGTTTGCAGATGTTTCCTAAGTCTAATCTGGCCTTCCTGGTCTTGAGTGTAACCGGTGGGTCACACCATGCTGTAAACCTTTTCTATTTCCATCTGGTGCCTCTTCATTGTAGGCTCTTACATGATACACAAACCTTCTCTTGTTCTTGACTTGGTTAGATGTTGTGCAGAGGTTTTATTTAATGAATGGAGTCATCCATTGTAGCTGTCTGCCATGGTCATTCAGGGTTTCTGAAGTCGCCGAGTTGGCCAGTGCATAGCTTCCCTGCATCCATGACTAGGTAAACAAGTCATAGTTTAGTATCTATGAGGTTGGAACTCACTGCAGACCAAGTCTACCTACCTACCTGCTCAAAAGCATTTAACTGTTCTTCTTATAACCATTATGAACTACAGTCAGAGTGATATATTAAACATATCCAATATTTCAGAAAAATCATTTGTGAATTTGATGGCAGGAACACAACTCCAAAAATATATTATAAAAATGTTATACCTTCATCTAACATCCATGGCCAATTTGGAATTACTAATGAATTGCTGCAGCACAGGGAGAACGTCCAAATGTGGCGGGGCGTGGTCCGTGGCGTGGCTGTGGGGGAGGTTGGTGCACCTGAATCAGCACATCACTCCTCCCCTGCACATAAATGAACTCGGGTCTGTTGTTGTGTTGCTGATGTGGATGTCGAGCTGTGAGCGGAGAGCTGCAGCTGTGTGTAAAGATGTCACTGAATGGTGAATCGTGGTCGTGTCCTGCCCCCTACCTGTCACCATCCCAGTATCAATGGGCCACAGCTGGGTTTTTAGCTACGAACCTTCTTGCTGTAAGTGCTGGAGCATACCAGACCCAACCCAGCTCAGTCGATACGGCGTGCTCAGGGTGATGGCCATCCAAATCCTCAGGCCAGTGTTTATGAAAATGACTAACAATATTTGTAACAACACTGACTCACACTGTACAGATAACCAAGCCTATTTCATCATTTCAACAAGTTACTGCAATATATAGTTATTTTGTCCTGTTGCATGAGGTGATTCACTAGAACATGCGTATGTGACAGGAAGCAACAACCAGATGTTCTGTCAGAAAAGGGAACTAATCCGGTCGTTTGCTAAGACTCCCAAAGTGGTACGAAATGTTTCCATAAAAGGACAGACGGCAGTGAGGAACAGTTTAAATCATCCATACAGTTTATTTAAAAGATGCATCACAAACATATACATTATGTTACAATACAAGAACAGTCAATATAAAAACCCTCAAATCATAAAGCAGAATACAGAAATATGCAG